CATAAATAAATAAAAATTTAAAAAAAACTAAAAAAAAAAAAAAAGAATTCATCACTTCCTCATTTAATGTCACAAACCAAGTTTACACTCTTCCTCTTATCTAATATTTATAGAGCACTAATATACACCAGGTACTATGTATTACTGAAGGTCCACTCCTAAGGCCCTAATTGATTCTCAAACTAAAGCCCACTAGGTTAGGTACTAATACTATCCCCACTCTGCAAATAAGGAATCAAGCTATTATGGCTGTGTCCAGATGTTCCCCCAAAGCCTCATGTGGTCATAGGTGGAACTCTTTCAGAGGGGGCTAGATCTAGAATGTGACACCATGGGTTTGATTCACATGAAATGTAGGATCAAGGGTGTTATGACTAAGGGAGTGAGTGCTACCCAACCCCAGGCAGCCTGGGTAGGATATAAGGGACAGAAAGGGCTATGGTCATCCCTTGTTGCTTTGCCACCTTCTGCCCTCCATGAACTGTTTCTCCTCTGTGATGCCCCTCTGCCATGCTGCCCTGCCTTGGTGCTGGCTGATGGTGTACTGAAACCTCCACAAATTCTGTGCTACATAAACCTTTCCTCCTTTAATTTTGGATATTCATATTTTGGCTCGGCAAGGACACAAGTAACTAAGATACACTTTTGATACATTAACTAGCCCAAAATTAAACCCAAGTCTAGAAGGCTTTTCAGCAAAGTCGGAAGTACTTACTTTTGTCTGTCAGTATTGTAAGTGGGTGCAAGCACTGCAAATGCACTCACTGTAGTGCCTCTCAGTAGCTGCCTGTGGAAAAGCCAGTAAGAGCAATTTAGCAAATTCATCTGTAAGTTTGTATCTTTGAAGAGAAGGCTAATCAAAACCATAAAAGAACTGGGCATGGCGGCATACTTGGGAAGCTGAGGCAGGAAAATCACTTCCAAGTGGTATTTCTTCCAAATTGGACACATTTACAGTAAAACTAGAACACACAGAATTTTTTGAATCTTGAATTCACAGCATACTGGAAATATGACAGAACCACCTCTAATATAATAACTTCATAATCAAAACTAACATTTTAACAAGTAAATGATAAAAATGCAAACCAAACATCCTACAGGTATCATTCTGAGTTGCTTTTTAACCTCAATACTTCCAATACCAAATGTGAGTGTTTTTCTCACACCAACTCACCTCCAATTCTGCAGACGCACCAGGGTGTCAACTTAGTTCTGACACTACCTCTCTCACCTCATTTCCTAAGAAACTGCCCCACTTCAGATGCCAACCCCATGTCCTTGGCCTCCCATACTTTTCTCCAGGAAGCTCTGCTTTCTTCAAGTCCAATAATTTTCTAGAGGGTTCAGGAACTTAGGGAAGCATTTCACCTACAATTAATAGTTAGCCCCCACCAGGATCTTAATAAATACTTCAACCCAAAAGATCTCTAAATAACATCCTGTGGGGTCTGTTGTAGAACCTTCCGGTCACAAGCATGACTGATTAAATCACTGGCCACTGGTGGTTATTTCTACTTTTTCCCCCAGACTTGAGGGAATGGACAGTTCCAACCTCTAATCATGCTTTAATTTTTCTGATGTCTGGTCTCCAACCCAAAACTATCAAGGGTCCAGGCAGAAGGGCCTCAGTAACAAAAGACACTCTTATCACTTCAACCACTAAGGACATTCCACAGATTTAGAAGCTCTATGTCAGGAACCAGAGACAAAGACCAAACATTCATTACTGCATGACATTAAGCACCCAGATACTCAGGGTTACATTAAACACTGAGAAACTATGACAAAAAGAAACAGCTCCTTCTATCCTTAAGAACTTATTTACAATATATTCACTCAAAATTCTTCCCTTTAATTTCAGTATAAACACTAAGTGAGGCAGAAGGCGTCTTTCTTCAAAATGATTCTAATCTAACCAAAAATTATTTTTTAAAAAATAAAGTCTTAAGGCAAGCTAGAATATAAACAAGGTAGAAAAAACAGGGCTTTGGGATCAAACTAAATTCTAATCCTTGCTATCATGTCTAAGACGACTCTGGATAAAATACTCTCTCTGAACCTCAATTTACTCATTTATAAAATGAAAAAATGCTGATAAAAAAAATCTGAGATTTAGGGGCCAAGGAGATGGCTCAGTAGAATAAGTGTTTGCCTGGCAAGCACAAGGGCCTGAGTCCAATCCCTGGTTCCACCAAAATAAATAAATAAAATAAAAAACAAAAAAAATTAATATAAAAGATACAATTTCTTTTAAGATGCCTACCAAAAAAACTAGCAAATTTTCTCTCATAAACTGCTAAGTAGCTATTGATTATCCTTAAGAGAATAATTTGAAAAATATTTCCAGGTCATTTATATAGCCCATGAATCACATGGATCAGGATCCTAACCTGATTTGCATAAAAACTATATAAACAACAATGTGTATTTCAGGGCCCAAAGGACCATCAAATTCCCAAACAATACATTTAACAGTAGAATCTTCTGTTTAATGTGAAACAGTTAAATTTACATGCCTGGGATAAAATACAGCTTATATAGCTTTCAATGTGATATAATTTGATTTCTAATATTAAGACAGGAAAACCATTGTGTAATAGTAAACTTATTTTCTTCTGGTCATGAAATATTCTGTATCTAATACTTCAGAATATAAGTAAGCATAAAATAAGTGTCACAGCCTTCAATAACTTACACTTTAAGGTTTTTTTTTTTTTTTTTTTTTGCAGAACCAGAGATTGAACTCAGGCCCTTTCACTTTCCAGGGAAGCGCTTATTCTACTGAGTCATCTCCCTGGCCCCTACACTTTAGTTTTAAAGGGTGCACACTTCAACAGCACATAATGAAAAGTAATTACAAACAAAGAATATAAACTAAAATGTAATAGAATCATTTGCCAATAGCAGGTTTATGGAAGGTTTCTAGAAGAAGCAAGAGTGGACAAGTTGAATTTTAAATAAAACAATGAATATAGATTCTAGGTTTTGTTTTTTGAAACAAGGTATGTAGCCCAGGCAGGCCTTGAACATACTGAAAACCTGCCTCAGCCTCAAGAGTGCTGGGATTACAGACATGGAACACTGTGCCTGGTTAGATCAGTGATACAGAAGTTGCTGAATATGACCCATTTGGAGATCATTTAAATGAGTTTAGTGGATCATGACCTAATTTTTAAAAAACACCTCCCAGGTATTTATTTATTTTATTTTTATTTTTTATTCGTGGTACTAGGGATTGAACTCAGGACCCTGCACTTGCCAGGCAAGTGCTTATTCTACTAAGCTATCTCCCCAGTCCCTAATTTTTAAAAAACAGAATGCTAGTACCTACCATGCAGAACTAAAGATGTTGCCTTGAGAACCTTTAAAACAGAAATATACACATTCATACACAAGTATGTGTGTACGTATGTATTGGTTCCCAATACAAACTAGATTTCTTACTTGTTGAAACACAATGCCATAGTTTGGGGCAAAATGTTGGCACCAACGAAGTCCAAGGAGAAGAAACAACTAACTTTAGTCAGCCCCCCACATGCATGGAGCCCACATTTGTGGATGACAAACATGTTTTCTTTTTGACAAATATTTTTTAAAACATGCTGTTTATACTGAATATATACAGACCTTTTTCTATTACTATTCCCTAAACAGAACAACAACCATTTACAAAGAACTTACACTGTACTATATATTAAAGTAACCTAGAGATGATTACAGCACATGGGAAGACAAGTGGTCTATTAGAAGAGCAACCACAAAGACTGTAGGCTGGTAACGTGCAGTTCTTTATGGGCCCACATATTAGGCTGAGGTTTCCAAAGCTACCTTTGGGCTTCTGAATTGTTAAAAATTAAAATACATTATAAAAAGCTGAAATTTTTATTACTTTATATTTCAGATACTTAAGTAATTATTATGTAACACAGTATACTAAATAGTCAAAACCTATATTTTATATTATATTATTAGTTCATCATCTTGCTTTTACAGCTTTCTGGGGATTTTAATTTTTATTAATTACGTTAATTTTAAATATCATAGTTTTGCATAATTCCTACCAAAATCTAAAAACAGTAATTTTATAAAGATTGACAGATTATTTTAAAATTTATATGGACAAAAAGTACCAAATTTTTTTTTTTTTTTTGGTGCAAGTATCACTGTGCAGCTCGGCCTCCTAGTGATCCTCCAGTTTCCAGCCTCCCTATTGCTGGGATTACAGGCTGGAGCCACCACACTTGAACTCCATCGCTGACTCAGCATGCTGGGGAGGCAGGGCTGGCGCAGCATGTGGTGCCAGAGATTGAACTAAGCAAGTGCTTAGTCTGCTGAGCTATCTCACCACCACCAGCTCCCTTTTTTAAAATATTTCGTACAGGGTCTCACTACGCAGCTCAGACTCATAGTGATCCTCCTGCTTCAGCCTCCCTAGCACTAGGATTACAAGAGTGTGCCACCATACCTGGACTCGGTGGCCAGCTCACCATGTGGTGCCAGAGATCAAACCCTGGTTCCTGAGCTTGCCTAAGCAGGTGACCAAAGCACTTTTGAAAAAAGAATAAAGTTGGAGAACTCACATCACCTAATTTAAGACATCTACAGTCCCAGTAGTCAAGAGTAAAGCCCAGGCAAAAAAAGAAAACACAGACACAAAGATCAATAGAACGCAAAGGTCCACAAATAAAACACACACATAGTGTTTCTGACAGAGACAAGGGGAATTCAGTAGAGAAAAGACAATCCTCAATAAATAAGTATAGAATAAGTGGAAAATTTTTAAAAATCAATCCATAACTCCCACTTTATACAAAAACTGAATCAATATGGATCATAATCCTCAATAACAATGCCTGACTAAATCTAAAATATAAACTATGAAACTTACAGAAGAAAATATAGGAGAAACTCTTTAGTTGGGCAAACAGCACTTAGACACAATAAAAATGAAATCCATAAAAAATTTTTAACAAAATTGAACATCAAAATTTAAATGTCAATGCTACAACTGTTGATTCCTCTATTTTTTTTTTTTTTTTACCTTAACATAGTGCTACACAAATCAAATGTAAAGGTCAAATCAAGCACGCTGGTTTTTTTAAGTACATTAATATTTGACATAAAGATGACAGACCACATAAAAAAGTGATCCCAGAAAATTATAATGAAGCTGAAAAATCCCTACCACTTAGTGATGTCATAGAATAATAATACATTATTCACATGTCTGTGGTGAGGCTGGTATAAAACTAATTTATGTACATAAAAGTAGAGAACAATTATGTAAAGTACTTAATACTTGAAAATGGCAACAATCATGTTGCTGGTTTGTGTTTACTATTCTTTATCATTAGAGTATATTCCATTTATTTAAAAAGCTTACTATGAAACTATATATGTCATGTTAATCTAGCAGCAGCTTCATACTTCTTTTTTAAAGACAGTCTGATTTAATTGCCCAGACTGAACTTGTGATCCTCCTGCCTCAGCCTCCAGAAGAGATGGAATTAAAGGCATATGCCATGGTGCTTGACTCTTCTACATCTCTTTGCTGCATCAGAAGGCTATATTAAGTGACTGATTGATGCCATCTAGGTACATCTAAATATACGCTATGTTTCCACAGTGACAAAATCACCTAATGACCCACATACTCTTTAAGAATGTATCCCTGTCATTAAATGATACACAATTATATAGTTTTATGGGAACTGTTTGTTTGGCTGCTTTTCCACTCTGACAACAAAACTGAATACCTGAAACACAGGTGACTGGGCCCACAAA